AATATATTGAAAAAAGTAAACAAACAAGATTTGTATGTCAGATACTTCAAACAATGATGTAATATATTCTGAGTTAAACTTTATGCATGCACACACGTGCACACCCACATACCCACACTGGGCCTCTAGTTACATATAAAATATAAAACTTAGTCAATATATATAAATTAAAAGCAATCAAGATGCACAAATTAAAAGTGCTTCAAAGGCTTATTTCTCTAACATTATAAATGGAAATTGCTTTTATACCCAGATGATTAATGCTATATACCATCCCATAAAAGCTGTGATATAATTAATGACATACACAATGTGATCTTTCCACATGAGTCTTCTCACTGCAAAACTGGGTAACAGGTAAGCAACTCTGAGGTAAGTGAACTGTGCAGACCAGAACAAAATATTGCTAAAATGCCCTACTCATGTAAGGTGTCTAACTATATTTAGAAAAACGTCATAAAAATCATGATTCTCTTTCAGTAGGGAATACAGCATTCCTTCTGACATGGAGCTTACCCGATGTTCTTCCTGTTGTTGTCTGAGTGTTTCATACTCAAGGGCTGGGGCAGGGAGCTGAGAGATGATTCTTTGTGTTTCCGTCAGCCATGGCCAAAGTTCTTCATATGTTTCCCAGAACTGGTTAACCAGGGACTGTGCCCGTTCCAGCTGTAGATATCTCTCTGAGTTTATCTGGCAGATGGAGTCATAGTTCTTCAATATCTTGTCCAGTTTTTTCTAGAAATAAAGATGATGAAATGCGTGTAACTGGTGAGGTGGGCCAAGTAGCACATGTACCCAAGAACGATTGGTCCAGTACTAGACTCCTGGTGCCGAGGAGACACTCAATAATGTAGGTTAAAGGAATAAATCAATAAAAGCTATTTATATTTTAACTGTTACTATGTATTAAAAAGTTCATTTTAAATTAAAGAAAGGCCCTCTTGGTTCATATCCATGTTTCTGCCTGTGGCAGGATTTCCTTCCTTTTAAAGGATGAATAATATTCCAGTATCTGCTAATATGAAGTGTTTTTAACACAATAAAAAGAAACACCTATACATATACATATGTAAGCAATAGCAAAAATGTGGAACATCTTAAAAGTACAATGATTAGAGATCAGGCTGGTAAATTATGATATATTCATATAGTAGAATTCTACACAATCATTTAAAAATCATGGAATTTAATGACATAACTTCACAAAAAAGATGTTAAGTGAAAAATACCAAAATATAAATAAATAAACAAACACAAAAGCAAGGCCTCAAATTTTTATAAGTAAGACAGTGACCTCTCTAAACATAATGAGCAAAATTCAGTGTCTTCTAGGTTAGAAAACATCTCCTGAGTCTAGCAACATTTACATTACTTTCTCAAAAAAAGGACTACCTTTCACTAATGAAATTATAGGAGGAACTGCTAGTCAGCAAAATTAATTACACATATTAGAATAAATGTAGAACATTATGCTATCCACTGATTTCATGGGGTGGTCACAGTGATTTAGGTTATGGTATAAATCCACATCATAAACTAATAGCAGAAGATAAAGCATAACAGCGGTCTAATGAACCACAGAATGACAGAAATTATTTCATGATGACCTGTGCTATTCATGTCAGAATCTTTACAAAAATAATAAAGGAAAGATTAAATTATAAATAAGTAAATCGCCATTGTGGAGGATAAATAAAAGAGAAAGTGTCAATATATAGTGTACATTGTATTACTTATCTATGTTATATCTTAAAAGAAATGCATGCCCTTTATAATGTGATCTTAGGCATAGGCATTTATATAATTTAATTTTTGCCATGGAATATTTTCCTTTTAGAAGTGTTAATTACTTTAGACTGTTCAGATGTCAGAATGTGAAATAATGCGGCTGGTTTTCCATCAATTTAAAGAATCATTAAAACTACATAAACTGGATGCTTCCTGAATTACTCAGCTCATTTCCCCCCCCTATACAGCTTATAGTAACTTCCTACAGCATTAGAGAGAACCACATACTCTGGTTTTTCTTCCAGCTCAAGAGGCCCAAATGTTTCTGAAGTATGTAAACAACAGTTGACATTTATAATAACAATTTATAACAATCATAATGGCAATAATACAGCTAACCTTAATTGAATGCTTAATGCACACTAGTTAATCAAGGGCTCAAATTTGAATAGCTTTTCTGTATATTATAAAGATTGCCCCAGGGTGACTCCCTTAAGGAATACTCCTTTCACTGTTATTCTTGAAGCTTGAAAAATGCCTTATTTGCAACTAATGATTTAGCTGTTTAAACGGCAGCTGTGGATAAAGGAAAAGTGCTTTCCTAGGGCTGAAAGCTCAACAGATGCCTTTATTCAAGAGTGTCACTACCAGTCACAGAGACAAGAATATACCTTCATTGACTGCTTTTCTTCTTCACTGCACGTGGTCATGACTTTATGCCCAGATTTAACAAGTTCATCAATAATATCCTTGTGTCTCAAAATTTCCATGGTAAATGCCTGTGATTTACAAAAACGGAGATTTTTTTTTTAAAGAGAGTGTAAGAATAAAATGAAAACAATTAGGCAAAGTAGCTGAAAATATCAAGCTACACGAGTGGAGTTCAGCAAAGTCAAGCATGCGAGCACATTTTCTAGCCGAGCAGATAATGGAGATGTAATTGGAAATGCCCTTCACCTTTTGAACCTGCAGCTGAGCGGCCGTCTGGTCTTGCTCAAGCCTGATGTCACCCAGAGACATCAATTTCTTTTCTGTTTCAGTAATCCAGGATATCTCGGCATCGGCCGCTTGGTCAAACTAAACAAAAGATAAATAATTAGGTCAGCAAGTTCCTGTAACTGGTGCCAGAAAAATACCTATGTACATATCTTTTAAATATCCTTATTACACAAGTGGAAAAACCTGAGCTTATCTCTTCATTGCATCCTGAAATGATTCATGATAATGACTGAAGTTACAAAGAAAGGAAAACAACTTTCACAGAGTAATTAAACACAAGCTCTTAAAGCATGCTGAATCCACAGCACGGCATCCGTGATTTTAGGACACCTAACACTGCTGCCTTCCTCTGGTAGTCACCAGCATATTCTCCCTCAGAGCACTATCCAAATTGGACAGCTATAAAAGTCAATAGCTGAACACCATCTTTCAATCCTTTCCTCATCACTTTAAACCATATGATATGCAGGTAGCATTCTGCTATCAAAGTATACGATTCCTAGCAAAAAGAAAAATGAAATGTTCCCGTTTTTTATTATCTGTGTGTGTATAAATGTATGTATAATGTGCTCCTACACATAGAGTATGTCTCCAAATGACTCATGTACAATTTTTTACGCCTCATTAAATAATAGCAGATAACATATTCAAGAGCTTTCTTAAATATTTCAAGATATTTTTGTTTTCCTGATCATAATAGTAATTCATGGTAGAAATTCATACGATACAGAAAAATATGCAGAAGAAAATTAAAAACTAGAGGGAATACCATTGGTATTTTAGTGAATTTTCTTCCAGGAGTTGAGAAAGGTTTGTAAAGGTCTGTATGATACTGTATAAACAGTTTCATATCCTGCTTTTTCATTTACTATGAACATTTCCCATGACATGTTCTTTTATGTGTGATTTTTAAATAACACCATTGTATTCTAGCATACTTGGATATTTTCATTTAGGGACTCGGCATTTTTGTGTGTGATTATATAAACAACTCTGTAATGAATATCTTTGTATATGACTCTCCATTGGCATCTCTAATTAGTTCCTTAGGGTAGATTCCTAGACGTTGGACCATTTTCAATACCTTACATCAGATAAGCCCCAATGCCCTCCAGGGCCAAGCACTTATCATGTACAAGTAAAGTGAGTAAGTGACGCCACAAGCACCAATAACAAATGGCAACTAACAACAGCCTCAGCTGGAAAAATTAACGGGGGAATGGACATTGTGAGTATTCAAGTCCGGTACTGCCAGACCTTCTAATTTTTTAAGAGAACCTGGAAATCCAGATGGGGGAAGAGGGATAACTAGGTGGAGAGTGAGAAGGGTGGGGATAAGAAACTAGACTGAAAAAGAATTCACACTTCTAAGAATCTATGCAACATTATGCAGACTCCTGAGAGGATGGAGTGAAAAAGAAAAAAAATCATCGACTAATTCAGCAGCTTCAGATGTGGAAAAAGAAGTCTCCTTTAAAAACACATGGGAGAGTCCTCTGTGCATGGATTACTAGCTAACATGGTTGGAAAGCAGATGTGTTATGCTAAGTGAAATAAGCCAGTCAGAGAAAGACAAGTGCCGACTGATTTCACTTCTATGTGGAATCTAATGGACAAAGTAACAAACTAGTAACAGAGTCATAGATACAGAGAACAGACTGACAGCTGTCGGAGGGATGGAGGGTGGGAGGGCTGTGTGAAAAAGGTGAAGGGGTCAAGCAAAAAAACAACAACAAAAATCTCATAGACACAGACAACAGCATGGTGGTTACCAGAGGGAAGGGGGGTGGGGGAGGTAGAAGAGAGTAAAGGGGGGACAAACGGTGATAGAAGGAGACTTGACTTTGGGTGGTGAACACAATACAATATACTGATGATGTATTATAGAATTGGACACTTGCAACCTATATAATTTTATTAATCAATGTCATCCAAAAAAATTTTAAAACAAGACCAAGAGTCTTCTATGCATGGATTATTAGCTTTAAAGCCATATACTGTACAATGGAACTTCAAGGTAGAACTTCATTACATGACTCACTTAAAGAGCACAGAACTGAAAAAAAAACAGTCCAGGCGTTCTACCTGAGTGCAAAAGATATCCGAATAAAATTCAACAGTAACGATTTGTTTTCTTCTACTGGTCCCTGAAAAAATAAAGCGACACAGCATCCCTCTTATTTGTGTTCAAGCAATTTTTAGTATTTATATGACAGTCCTAATAAAGAAATTCAGGCTGTTAGTGTTAATATTAGCTTAATAACACATCTCCCTCTCTTTAAAAAAAAAAGTAGCCAATGAAAAACAGTATGATGATACCATCCAAGTTGCCAAAATGGAAAGCTGAAACTCAAACACTGTTTCTTTAACCCAGGCAAATATTTGCTCTGCTGAAAGAAAACAAGCCTTGCAGCAGAAATTTCCCTTCTGTCTTTGAATGTTTTTTTTTTAAATTAAATTGACAAATATTTATTATTTAGCAACAAATGGAACAGCTACAGGGTCTACATTAAGCAATTTACAGTTAAGCAAGGCATTTTATCTAGCTCTGTGGCTCTTTTAAATGACTGCCGAACACAGGTATTTCTATTGAACCATAAAAACTGCTTATTTTACATGTGAGCAACACGAGAGCAAGATTACCAGACAAATTTTAATAAATCTGCCCATGGCTCATACAAGTAGTAAAAAGTGACTTCAAATGAATTGTAGATAATCTTAGGATCCATAACTGCATTCTGGGAAATACTTTAATAGTATGCATCATCAGTGGAGTCTAGTAATCAACCTCGGCTACTATAGCTCCTTTCCTGTTATTAATAACTAGGTTAATTACAATGGTATCACTATTATAGATGAACTAGAATTTCAGAATGTTTTATAAATTAAAAAAAGACATGTTATTTGGCTATCCCTAAATATTCCGGTAATACCCTCTCTAAACTGGTAACAGCCAACCTTCTACTGAACACACCAAGTGCTTAACATGTATTCTCTCTTTTAATCCTGACAGCTCTATAATGTATTACCAGTAACTCCATTTACAGCCGAGAAAACTGAGGGCAGAGAGAAGTTCACTGAGTTACCAGAGATTTCCCAGCTAGTAAATGCTGGATCTGAGATTTGAACCGGCGTGGTCTGACTGAACCTTAGAGGCCGCAGTCTTAGTTGCCCAGTTTTGCCCTTTTATCTTGGGCTCCGTGAGCTAAAAATACTCATCCAATGGCACCAAAAAATGGCTCAAATGCCACAACAGTTAATAAGGGGTAGGTTTTAACTTACTATTTAAACATTTGTCCAATCTCTGACAAACTGCTTTCGGACTTATCTAGAAAGTTTCTCTTGTGTGGCAATGGCGGTTTGAGAGTGATAAGGAACCTTAACCTCCAGGACATCCTTTCCCTCCCTTCCCCTGGTGAGGATCTTATCACTTTCTTTTGATTAGCACTTCCTTCCACTTTGCTGCACATTATTCATAACACAGCCCATATTTTCCCACCCCAACACCTGGCGGGTCTAAACAAATCTCACTTCCGTGGGAGAGGTTTCCTTCTAGTAACTAAGTTCTTTAAAAGAAATAAACAGGTGTTAGGGTGTTATTTTTCTCCATTGCGGATTCCAATGAGTCGTTTATTTTAATTGCACCCAAATCACCAATACATGTGCCTTTATATTGGGGTAACATGGTCTGCTAAAATAAACCAGGCAATTAGAACTCCCAAGGAGATGGACACGTTTTAGCAACATTCGACAATTGTAAATTTATAAGAGGTAAAGGACAATGAGCTTCTCTGAGGTTTAAATAATTGCTGTGGTCAGAATTCAGGCTACAGGTCTGTATATCTCTTAAGCAAAAGTGCCTTTCCCATTTCCACATGGCTGTTTGGTTCAATTTGCAATTCAATAAAGAAAGCAACAAAGATGTGTTACTTTGTGTAGGTTTAACATGTAAAAATATGTCGTTTCTAACTCAGAAAACGGCATTCAATGTTAGGAAGCAAGTGTCTTATTCTGTTTTCTTTCTTTTTTATTTTATAAAGCTCACCATCACTGTTTACTAAGCTGCCTTGTCCACTCCAATTTTCCTAAAAGTAATAAATGAGTCAATTCTTTTTAAAAAAAGAATTTTCTTCAGAATATCAATACCTACAAATCTATAGTCAGATTTGGGGGCTAGTTGACTGGTAGCACTAAATGTATACAGTCATCACTCATTTGCACATAACTGAGGCTGCTCAATTGTTTCCCAAATAAATAAAAACATCACTCAAATTTACATAAGGCTCTTGGCCCTATTGATTTCAAAATTAATGACACATCTTTTCAAAACTGCGGTTGTGATATAGGATTAACATGAAAAACCTATCCACGCCAGTGTGAGCTTTTTAAAAAACTAAACTCATATAGGGCAGTTAGAAAGTACATGCTAACTAAAAGACATGCTATATGCTCCCTTCCCTTATGTCTTCAAACTCTAATTCCTTTTGATGTTTTCCTGGACATCTTTCATGTCAATATTTGGAAGCCAATACACTCTCTGATAGTGGCCTGACAGTTCACAAATTCCCTATGCATTTGTTGAATTCCAAAAAGCAGGGTATCTATATATATAAAAGCCTAAGCGACCGTTGCAACCAAAACAACTGAACGGACAACTGAACAGGCTGCGTGAGGCGACCAGGCCAG